TTTGTCTATTATTCAAATCAAGCAGTTTTGAACTCTGGAAAGCAAAAAAAAAAAAAAAAAAAATCTGAGTCATAATGTAAGCTTTACGTATGCCTACTAGAGGTTGGCTAAGTGGCGGAAAATCTGCACTATATACCTTGTAAAGATTTTAAACTTGTACAAACAAGTATCCGTTCATTTAATACTGGCCCGTCTGGTGTTTCATATTTCACTCTTAAATCTACTCAGCATCTAAAATGAACATGACTATAATGTTTTAATCAAACAAGAAAGATTTTTTTTTTCTAAATGATACATGCCACTGTGAACTAGAATTCTGCTTTTAGTTAGATGGAAATCTATCTTAACTAGGTAAAAATAGACTTTGGTATGTGCTATACAATATAAGATCCTCTTTGAAATACTCTTGTATTTTGTATCCAAAATACGAAAACCTAGTTTTGAAGCCATGGCGCCCTAGTCCAATGACATGTAATGACTTCACGTGACTGTAATATTCTAAGCTCAGATACAGATGTGTTTACCAATATCTTTCCACACAGCAAGCCCACAACCAAGAAGAAATAAATACAAAATTACCTCGAGATGAGCCTAGCCTAGAAAGTGATGAACGACGAAAAGAAGGGTAACCAAAATAGCTAATGTCCTCAGAAAACATAGCATCAGCATCAATAATGACACTTGGGTGGGCAGAGTGAATGTCAGCATCGAGGAGAGACATGAGATCCTCTAAAACAAACACAAACAAAGATAAATGGAGCAGCTACAGGTAGTGCATCTTAGACCACTAAAAGACCACTAACAACTACAATACATTAAAATCAGGGACTGAAAAAAAAAAAAAAAAAAGATGAAAAGATCTGGGAAATAAAGTTAACATTATATACACAGATCTTAAGGACTATCACATGCATAATTGCTACAGGCTCTGTTTACTAAATTACAGACTACTTTTAAGATACTTAACAATATCACAGAAACAAAATACAAACTATAAATAAATGCAGTTCAGAAAGCACCAATGTTCAGTAATCACATCATCAAAAACAATATCCCACATGTCAGTTAGGGATAAATCCATCAATACAATCATGTCCTAATTCAGATCAAGCACAAATCCACTGAGTAAAAATATTTTCCCTTAAAAGGCACTTTATAATCAAAATGAATAGCAAGAAATATCCACCACCTTCCAAAAAACAGACATAACCACCAGAGGAGCAGCCCGGCAGGAGGAAGGTATGAGAACAAGGTACCGACCTCCCGGCAAGTAAGATTCACTGGCTGTGTCGTCCCCATCATCTCCATCTTCATCATCTCGGCTGAGTAAATTATTTACAGCAAGGTTTACATCCAGGTTTGTCCGCTGAAGTTCTCGAATAATGACACTTCTAGATTTGCCTTGTAAAACAACCTGGGCCTAAAATAAACAAAGGATAGTGCTATGCTAACGTTCTATCACTTACTAAAGTCTCTTTATTAAACCGATAAAGAGAAAGCCACAGTTTCAACTCTTCATGGCCATGAGTATGAGCCCTGCATCCCGTCAGCCTCCCCTCCCCCTCTTGCCTTTGCAGCAAAGGCCCTGAAAGAGCATACCTGTGAAATCAGCTCCTCGGGGATGACTGATGCTGGAATAACCGGCTGGGGCTGACTGCCCAGAAGTCCAGACCCCCGATCCCGCCCCGTCCGAATGACTCTAGTCTGTCGCCGAGAGTCTCGAGCTCCAGCAGAGCACCTGCCAGAGGAGCCGCCTCCACTTCCCCCGACTCCAGAACTCCAGCGGCTCCTACATGTTGGATAATTTGTAAAATGTTTAAACAATTCACTCTAGGAAATCATGTTGAGTATCATTCTTGTACATCAGCTAGATAAATTTCAGGAACAAACTCGGTGTACATTTATAATATGTAACTATAAATTCACTTTTAAACAATAAACATCCTTTCTGTCTTTGTTGAAAGCCTGCATACAGAGGTGGCCATGGCAGGGTCTCTCTGTAATCCCCAACACTAGGAGACACAGGTCCATGCTGGGAAAAAAACCCACGACAAAAGGGAAAGGGGCATGCCTGAGGAAATAGTTAAGCCCATAAACAGGAGGATCCCAGACTCTCTTGATGGCCAGCCCAGCTAAGTGGGTGACACCCAGTTCAGTGCCCTGCTACAGGGACTACAGAGGAGGCTTGGCATGGGCCTCGAGGGTTCACACACAGGGTGCACCCACACTCACACCTACAAATGCACATATACACAAACACCTATACATATTTGCAGAAAAGTGGGAGAACTACACCAATGAGTCTAAAACAATATATTAAGCAGAGTGACTTTATGTCCTAGTCAACTGTGAAAGTGCCAATTTAAGCCTACTGTGTGAATCTAATTACTAATTTCACCTAAAAATGCCCCAGTCTGGTTAACAATCTATGTGGCCAATGAACACAAAAGAAATGAAGTGCTATTTCTACTAAGTAGTACACACCATTACCCCCTTAGCAAGCAACGCTAAAGACCTGATGGACTATGTTATCTAAGCTCACATATATGCCCACGCTAACAAACTAATCCCCAACACTAGAGACACAGGTCCAGCCTGGGTCAAAAGGTATATAAACAGGTCTCATGAAAAAAGTGGAGATTATATATCTGCTTACCAAAAGAATTCATTCCTCTGTTTAAATTTAGTACCTACCAATGGTTTCGATTCAGTGTAATGGTCCCAGCTGACAACTTTGGGAACCCTGGCATTCAGTTTAGGCACAGTTACTGTG